CAAAACCAATATGCATTTACTGATATTTGGAAGAACTGTTCATTTGTTACTAAGCAAACATTTTGAATACAGTGACAATTAAGAAGTTGCAGTGCTGAATTTGAGGTAGACGTGCAAATCTGGTTTGGGAAGAGCTTTTACAGAAGACAACTGCATGATTATTTTTTCTGCTAAAGTTCCAGAATGTATATATGTATTGCTAAAATTAATACTTTAGACATATTCACAAATTGCTATGCTTTGGGCAGTTTTTCTTTACAGTCTCCTTACTATGTTAATTTATTATAGAGTTTTATCTATGTTTAAAACAGGATAATATATTTAAATTACTTTTATTAAAAAACCCACCACAAATAACCATACATGCCCCCCCCCCAAAAAAAACCAACAAAAAACCACAAAAACAACCAACCAACCAACCAAAAAAAACAATAAAATAAGCACAATAAAACCACTTCACTTTTGAAATTATATCCTTCAAGGGGAGGAAGAGGAAAAAAAAGAAGAAAAGCCACAATACATATTCCTGGTAAAATAAATATTTTTAATATCCCCATATTCTGCAAAATGCATTCAGTACTCTACAAAGTATCACTATGAGGAGAATCTGAAGTTTTATTATTTTTTCTTTTTTTTTTCTGGTGATTAGCCAGTGACTTAGGGTTCAGGTAATCAAGCTGACTATGCATTTAGAGCCTATGTCGAAAGAGGGGGATGTGGTTATTTAACCCTGATTCTGTGTTGAGACCTATGTACACATCAAAAACCTTGTCCCAGGGAATTTGAGCAAAAGGGATACACAGAGACTGAAGGTGATCAGCGACTGAAAACTGAGGTGTACAGTAGTAGTTGGTTTAGATAAAGCCTGAGAAACCCTAGGAGATCTGTGCAGTCTTCAGTCTCCTGTGCTCATATAATTTATATTCATGTTTGATTTTCTTATGACTGTCTATGACCTGGATAAGCAGGTCAAAAAAACTTGACATCACTTTAGGGTTTGCCATTCTAACCTGGAGCAAAGAGGACTTTTAAGCCGTATCTCATATTTCCCTAGCAGGTACAGAGCTGGTGTAGAACTATGACATACTCATCTGCTCAAGTTGAAAAAGTGCTAACTGCAGAACCTGGAAACCATCACATTAGCCCTGAAGGCCTGATTCATAGACTATTTAAGCATCTCTAAGTGTGGCTTGGGGCAGAGATTTATAATCGAGTACAAGTAGTGTTTCTAGTAGATGCACATCCATGTTAACTTCAATCTGCGTTTACTTCAAAGGCCATAAATGTCTCATTAGCCTCAAATTACACTCCTCTGCCAATAAAGAAGTCATGTATGGATATATGTGATTTCAGATGTTCTTTGACTTTGCTTTGTGTGTTGTCTTGCCAGAAGTTGCCATTTTAAACGGAATATTTTGATTTGGATTGATTGTTTTTAATTGAGTGGGCGATGCTTCTACCTAGGAAGCTGTTGCAAGCAAGTTTGTACACATTCTTCTAATGCTTGAAGCAGTAAAAAAATTAAAAAAGGAAAGAATACAACACAATTAGTCATAACAAATAAAGACATGACAAGTTTATGAGTATGTAAAGATGTATTAAATAGGTGAGTGGATACATATAGATGTGCATCAAACTGGTTTTGGTATAATATCTAATTCTAAATATTGTATAATATTAATTGAATTATGTGTAATTCTAAATTGACGTACAGATTTCTATTTAAAATTAATCTCTAATTGCAATCTGTGACTCTCTGTTTACATCTTCCAGACTTTTAATGATGCACGTAGCAAAATCAGCTAGTTCATGAATGTATAGTCAGCACACCTTCTTCCTTATCTCTTGATGTTCTTACTGAAAATTATTCCACGTATCTTTCATCATACATATGAATGTGTACATTTCATATGTTTAAACTAACCTTATGAAAATGATAATTTCTGTAGTAATTAGTCAATAAACTGAAAAGTGGGGTATTTTCTGCCTAAAACTGTCTTTGCAAAACAATTTGTTCCATGAGACTTCTGATTAAAGAATTGTTTTGTATAGTGGTCATACATAATTAATTATTTAAGTAAACTTTTTAAAGAGATCCGTTCAATAAGAAATTATTTAAAATTTTTATTGCTTCTATTTGACTAACAGCAGTAACTTTTAATAACCAGAACTTGTTACAATAAGTAGTGATTTTATTCTGACAACTTAGAATTACTCTTTTATGGTATATAGCTTGCCTGTGTTAATGCACTTGTTACTCTCTGCTGTTTATGTCTTTGCACTGGTTGGCAAAGGCTGCATGTCTGTTACAGTTGAGACAGTGGCTATATATTCTGTTAGCCAATGGTTTGTTTCCTTATGGATTCAAGATCATTAAAATCTAAATATCTATGTGTGCATGAATCAGAAGTGCAAACTTACAAATGTTAAGGTATAGGTGAAAATAAAATGCATTACATGAGTGGATTTAATACCCACAAAACCTACTTTTGTTGGTCTTATTTCCTAGATGAGGAATTGGATAGCAAATTCAGTTCCAGGTCAATAATGAATGTTTCCCTTTTCCTGTCCTTTCACTCTATTAACAATATTTGATCCAAAGACACTCTGTAATTATTATGGATAAAATTTATTAAGTCACATTTTCAAGAGTTGTATTTTTTCTCTAGTATGTTTATCAGCTGAGTATTTCCACCTTGCTTTATGTTGTCATTTTTTATTCTCTCCGTGCTGGTATTGTGTTCACTATTGTTTATTTGTCATTCCCCTTTTCTTTTCTTGTTTCATCTTTTTTTTTTTATCTGCTGTTTGCCCAGACAAGTTTTTTCTCTATCCATTTTTCATCTGGAGCACTGTCTTTCCTTCCACCTTGTCAATTTTTTAAGTGCTTTTTTCCAGGTGTGGCTATCAAGGGAATAGGATCTGTTGCTCTTCCCTGAGCTCAATGTAAATCCTCAGTTGGATATGACTGGAAAATCTGCTTTGTGCTGCATGATAAGAAAAGTGTACCAAGATGAGGGTAGGAGAGAGCATTAGGGAACACTAACCCAGAATCAGATGGCTGCTGCTGACTTTGGTTGTTAAAGACAGTAGCAGAAATCAGAAAGGAAAGTGGTGCTTGAGGAGGAATTTTGGGTGACGGTTAGCTGGCTGACCGCTCTGAATGCCAGGGAGCAGCTGGATTGGGGCTGCCCCACGGGGATGATGAGCCGGGAGATGCAGGCACTGCAGAGCTGACAGGGTAATACTCGCTGATGGGGCATGCTCCTGAAGCACCCCATTGAGGCTGGGCTGGGGACAGGGACAGGCCCCTGCCACTGCCCAATGATCATCAGGCCAGGCAGGGTGAGGAGTCAGGTCCAAGGTCGACCTGGGGACCCACTCAGAGCAAGATCCAGGCTGGGCATGGGGCTGGGCATGGGGCTTCCTACAGCATAGCTCAGGCAGGGACTGATGACTCTGGTGGTGCCCTCGGGACATGACACTTAGAGCTATTAATGATTCGTCCTTCATAAAGTATGCTTAAATTGCACGTCTGTCGGAAGCAACATCTTAGTCTATTATCTACCCATTAAAATATCAATAGAAATTTTATCAATAAATAAAATGTATCTGATATTTTTCTGGCCTCTGGTATTACGTATTGCAAGAATGAATGCTGAATTACGAGTTCTAAAATTAATTTGAGAGGATGAAATATCTTTCTTTCAAATGCCTTTCCTTGTCTAAAAGAATCAGCATAGATGTGTCCTGTGGTTCTTTTTGGGTTGTTAGGGCTTTTCTGTGGGTTTGTTTTGTTTGGGGTTTTGTTTTTTGGGGTGTTTGGGGGGGTTGTTTGTTTGCTTATATGTTTTTAATTTTAAATTACTATCGATAGCTACTTACCTTGTTTTTTTCTGCTCTTGAAAATTGATTTTATATCTTTATGAGATAGAGTCCTGAATGAAAACAGGACCTGGTAGTCCACTTAAATAAGTTTTATATGTAAATGTGTGTTCATCCTGTCCTTTAAAGTTTCCGTATCGGTTTCCTCTAACAAGGATTTTTTTAGCTGTGGAATTTTTACCTGTGGTTTTGAGTTGAATAATGGGTATAAAGGAACTCCTTCATTTCTTTGGGCAGGGAGAAGAATACAATTATTTTCTGTGTGTTTATTTATACTATTTAGCATATATAAATGAGTGACTTGTATTTCATTAAAAATTAAGAGAATTATTGTATGGATTGCATTCTGTGTAAAAATTAAAAGTAGGAGCATGCAAGAAAGTAACAGTACATAGTTGTAACAGTTACTGTGTAGGTCAAAATCTGACTTGAGAGATCCTGTCACACTTTTTTTTTTTTTTTTTCAGTTTCCATTTTTTCATTTTTGACAGATACAGAACAAAGACAATAGATATGAAAGCCAGTAACTTTATCTAATTTTGACTAACTGTTCTCACACGTGATTTGAACTAATGTAATGCTATGACATTAATCGGAATTTCTGAATTAGATGGGGTAAATTAGGCTGTCATAGAGAAGAGTAGGCATACCTGTGAAAAATACTATATAGAAGCTGTATCATAACAAAGAGAGATTATCCAATGCACCAAAACATTTAATTAATGTTTCCTGTAGGAGTGAAAATATAATTTAAAAGGAGTTGCTGCTTATTTAGGGCAGAAAACACCCTGGAGCTAGCACTTAAATGTAATACCCTTCCTGAAAGCAACAATATTTGGACTGTGGTTTGGTTTAGAAGCATATGGAGAAGCAGAAATATTTGGTTTGCGGTATAACCTCTGACAAGCTTGTGGCTTTGATTTTCAGTGCTCTTACCTTATATATCTTTACAAACACAGCTAACCATGGTGCCTAAAGTTCATAAAACATTTGTGGGCCTTGGTGTGGAAATAGTGTGTGAATTTAATTGTTTGTTTTGGGTTTATTTTTTTTTAGGTTTATGCCAACTTGAATATGTCTGTTGATTTGAATTGCTTGTTTTCTCTTGTCCACAGGCTGATTGAGTGGGCTGGACTTCACTGGAAGGAGCCATTTCACTGGGGAAGTGGAATAACTCCAGATCTCTCCTTGTGCTACCGTCAGGGAAGTGCTATGCCTTGCTACAATTAAGCCAAGCTGAAGTCTGGGATGGGCCTTAGGGGCAAACACTCCCTTGTTTCTTCTGATGTTGGGATTTGTCTACAACCAGTCAGCTGAGGCATATACCATACATCAGCTTCTGTTTTTTCGCTGCCTGAACAAGGTTATAATTTCCCTCACTTCATCTCCTTTTGACTACTTTTTATTTTAGTAGTTTTCATTTTCCTTGACTGATTAATTTTCTCCTGGCTGTGGAAAAAAGAGCCCTGCTGATGTTGATTTAAATAATGTCGAAACCAATGGGACTCCTATGGCTGCCTTTGATCTTCACCCCAGTGTGTGTCATGCTGAATTCTAACTTCCTCCTATGGATAACTGCACTGGCTATAAGATTTACTCTCATCGATGGCCAAGCACAATACCCAGTTGTTACCACAAATTATGGCAAAATACGAGGTTTAAGAACACCTTTGCCTAATGAGATTCTTGGTCCAGTGGAACAGTACCTGGGTGTTCCTTATGCCTCTCCTCCGACTGGAGAAAGGCGATTTCAGCCCCCAGAGCCACCATCATCTTGGACAGGTGTCCGCAATGCCACACAGTTTGCTGCCGTCTGCCCACAGTACCTGGATGAGAGGTCACTGCTCAATGACATGCTGCCAGTCTGGTTTACAGCCAATCTGGATACTGTGGTGACATATGTTCAAGATCAAAATGAAGACTGTCTGTATTTGAATATCTATGTGCCCACAGAGGATGGTAAGTACTCTAAGGACTGCACTGGAGTATACTCACCAGTTCTGCACATGAGTACTAGCCAGGTCTTTAAAGCATCTTGCTCAGTTTCCTCCATGTTTTCTCTATGGAAATGGATCATGCCTCTGGACAGGCATTATAAGTAATACTTTGTAGATTGAGCATGCTTGCATGAATTCTCTCTCATGTTTCAGTGTAACATCAATCCGCAATTTCATTTGCAGGCAGTGGCCAAGGTTTGTAAGCCAGCCTTAAGTTTACATCTGAACTACAGCTGAGCATCATTTACAAGAGAGAAAAGGGGAAATAAACATTAACCAGAAGTAACTTACTTATTTTCCCATGCATGAATGATACAAATACTGCCACGTAATAATTTTTAATGGAGAATTTCCCTAATTTTTTCTTCAGTTTTATTATAATACCTCTGAACCTACTGTTAACTCTGCTTGATTTTAATAGCTAATAGAAAATTGTTGCAGTACTTCAGTCTGCACTTTTTTCCCAGGATTTTTACCTATGAAACTTTTCAGTCCAACATACTTTTCTTTATACACTAAATTTAAAATGAAGTAAACATTATTTTATTATGCAGAGCTGAACAGGTGGCCTTAAATTTTCATCTGGTTTTTGTAATCCTTTCTCAAGAGGACTATTTTAAATCACCTTCTGTAGACAAAAAAAAGATGAACACAATTGGTAACACACAACTCTTTGAATGTTTTCATGATCTCAATCTTAAAAATTCTAGCTTTATGGTGTGCTAAATGTATCTTTTGTTGTTCTGAATGGTATTGCTTCCTACAGACAAGAAGACCTGTTTTCATCAGGCCTAAATTGAGTTAAGTTTATTCTATTTCACAAGGAAATAAAAAATTCTACTGGCAATTATATTTAATATCTGCTAAAAGCCAGTTCTTTCAGCCACTTAGAATGTAGTTACTGATGCATAACGTGACAGATTTCTCCCAGATATGCAAATCCAGTCACTTTAGCTGAGGGTTTGATTTGCATAACCAAGGCATTGTTATTTCTCAGTAACCATACCCTAAATATGCAAATTTTGTACTTTGATTATTATAATCCTTCTGCCTTGATTGGCTTCTTTAGTCAGAATTTCCAAGCTGTTTGCCAGCAATAAACATACCTCCTTCTTTTCCTCTTCTCATCAGCTGAAGCAAAAACTTGAAAGCTAAAAATAAAGGACTAAGGTTTGGGAATGCTTGGAGCTCTGCAAACATAAATACTATGAAGCTCCTTAAACGAAAGGTGCTCTGAAAAGAAAGTTGTATGTATGGGGGTTCTGTTGCACATGAGGGTGTGTGTGTGTGTAAATGAAGGAGCAGATCTTTCCACTCAGTTCTTTCCGTCTTCCAGTTTCATTGCACTGCATGTCACTCCTTGGATAGTAACATAGATAATTCTCTCCCAAATTTGTTTTTGTTCTGGATTTTATCCTGAAGCTTTTAATTAGTCACTAGGGTAAGGTTGCCCTAAGAAAGCGTGTCAGGTTAAGGTTTTATTTGTTCTCAGTGAAAGAATATCAGCTCTGCTAACTCAAGTCTTAGTTTAAAGCCCAGTGTTAATAAATTAATATATTCCTCCAATCTAGTAAGAAGAATTTTCACCCATTAGTTAGGGAAGACAAGAAATTAGACATGGAAAGATATATACAAATGTCTAGGAAAAGAATGTTGGATATCAAATGGATAATAGTAATATACCATATGCTGAATGACTAGCAACCTATAAAATCCCTCATCTTTCATGTAATGGCTAGTGGCATTTGATGTTAGATTAAAAATAGAAAGGACTGATAAATTTAATTTTATGTGTTGTAGACCTTTTTGTTCTCTCAGTTTCATAAAAAGTGTGTCTTTTAAAGAATTTTTTTTAACACTAAGTAGCATGTAAATGGAATCTATTTTCTTTTATATAACCTCTTCAAAATATAAACCCATGCATAAAATAGTATATAGCAGAATAATGAGAGACAAGGTTTGGTGTCAGTGATGAGCTGAAGGCAAGATTGTTTCTGCCCAATATGACAAGCATTTTTAACAGGTTCCAGTGGGGAATGAGAAATTTAAAAATTAATAAATGGAGCATTATGTGATTTAATTGCATGCTGTATATCTTATCACTAGTTAAATATAACTCAGTGTGGCTTTTTTGGTGAGGAAAATATGCAACCTTCTGCTTATAAAGATGATTAAGTAGAACTGACCTACAAATGAAATCTCCTAAATTAGTATGTCTCCAAATCATAGTAAACATAAATGGCCTTAAATTGTACTCAATACAATCTGATTAAATACATTATGCTTCATTATCTGAGTCTTAGTTGGCAAAAATAATCTACGTTGTTATGGAGACAGATCATTAAATTAGTTTTTGAAGCAAGATCTCAAAGTGAGTGACTTTGAGTTAAATTCACATTTTCTATTCTTTCTCAAGTACAGATTTATTTAAAAGATCTTTGAAACTGTTTTGTGTCTGGAAGAAAAGGTGGATGGAATCATCCAAACCTAATTAATGCTCTGACTATGAAATTTAATCTGAATCATTTTATGCTTTTTTTTTTTTTTTTTTTTTTTTTTTTAT